TTTTTCTGTCTCTAGTCTTCTATTTTGCAGAGTGCTGGCCATGATAACTGCTTCATGGTAATTTTCTGGTTATATCTTTATGGGATAAGGAAGCAGAAAAAAATCCCTCACTGATGACTTTCAATTTTTGTTGGTTTTATTAAATTCTTCACCTCTGCTTCCTGAGCCAGAAGAAATCTTTCTCTTAAACTTGAACACTTGTGTAAATGTACTGACCAGCACAAAATGTTATAAAAACTCCTCTGGGACTAGGCATGTGCTGGCAGAGTAATGAAGGAGTATGATCAGAAAAAAAGGCTCTTTGATGTCTAGATGAAGTGATTCAGTGACATTTTTGATATGCCATTCCTGAATGTCACCATCTCAGTCCATCGTGAGTGTGGAAGTATAAAAATGGATTAAAAGATGACAGTCCAGGAACACTGAGGAGTCTCTGTTGGGGATATGATCACCCACCTGCCCTGAGCAAGAGTGGACAATGAGCACTCAGTGTGCATGAAAGTATCACAGTCCTTAATACACTTACGTGTACACAGCTACACTGGTGACTGCTGTGGAGGTTTAAAGCCCAAATCTGTCTTTCATAGTAACCATTCAAATACAAAGGCACTGCAAAAGACTCACAGCTGAGAGTTACCACTGTACATGCTTTAGGGGGAATTAGATACACCCAACTCCTTAATGAAGGATAATTGTCTTTCATATACCTTAGAGATGCCTCTTGTTTTTGAAAGCAAAGCTAAGAGTAGATTGGTCTGTCTGCAGCCATAGGCAGCTATTGCTAGGGAGAAACTTCCAAGATCTTTGGAGATGTTGGGCCTATGTTGTCCAGGGGAACAAAGGTTCCTCGAGATAAGCTTCTGTGAAGACATGTGGTATTTTTGCTCAGTTGTCTCTGCAGTCTTCTGTAATTATTTTGTGTAATCAATTTTTCTGGGCTCAAAATTTTGTTCTAACTGTTGTGATATGAGGTGATTTTTGTACAGCTTTTATATTAGGCATGGAGAAGAGTGAAGGGGATTAGTTTTCCTCTTCCACTGACTCCATCCAAAGTGTTCCTGAGCTGGTTTAGTTCATACTGACAGTGGAGAGTGATAAACGGTTCCACTCGATTGCCCACACATGGATGTCTGGTGCTGTCTGAGATGCCTGAGTTTTCCAAAATATCTTTATGAGTTGACAGACATGATGCAGGGCCTGTAGGAAACCCATTCTTTTCTTGACTGGCTGCTGGAAATCAAGTGTGTTTCCTATGTCGTCTCAAATAAGGTTTGTCCCCTATGGATAAGTAACTGAATCCTATGTGTATTTTCTGAAGTGACAGTTTTTATGAGACTTAAAACAGAGTATCACAGTTAGAAAAATACTAATCCTAACAGTAAGTGAGACCATAATATAAATTTAAAAACATCAGTGCACAACAGTGAGTATGTAAAGACAACCTAATGATTTCTGAATATATGTAATACTGAGCAAATCTCCAAGGTGGGAAAAACACATAGGTTTTTGTAGCATGGTGAAAATAAGATGAAGGAAGACTCACTGGCAGAGGCAAGTTTTGATCCAGTCACCTATTCTGCATCTCATAACTAATAGAAATACACAGCATTTCAGTTATTGCTTTTTCCTCTAACACACTGACTTTTGGCACAGGTGAGCAGCACACAGTAAAAAAACATAGATTTTTATCTGCCAAATAAATCTAGAGGTAAAAGGCTGGAAAAATAATTTGCTGATGTTCTAAGAGCAAGCAAGAGATAACTGTAAATGCAAAGTGAAATTCCTTAAATCGATATATACTGTGTTTGTCTTTGAAAGATGAAAACTTTTACTGAAGGATAGTTTCACAGAGAGACTAAAGGTTAAAAAAGAGGACTACTTGAGGATAACTGCATATTGCAATTTCTCATTGACTGTGTTTAGCTTTGTTAGATATGTAGTTTATCCTCAGCTAGTTCATGGACAACCTTGTTACTTTTAACTTAGCCTGGTTTTTTTTTTATTTTTATGTTTAGTAAAGACAAGTTTAGAATTAACTAAAATATACAAAAATTACTTGCTCAAAGGATCTTTATGCCTTAAGTAGATAAATAACTGAAAGTACTTTCTTGCTAAGTATAGTAACCAGTACAAAAAATACTAACTGTAAAGAAACAGGCATTTTAATGTATTTATACTTTGAGATTTATTATATGGAAATATAATATGCAGCAATGAAGAAAGTGAATCTTTAAAAAGCAGGCACTGGCAATAGGCTAAGATGGACTCTCACTGGGCACCTGCAATAGTATGTTGGTATGGGAATGATATGACACAAATGAGACCTTTATATACATTTGTAGATTTTGGATTTCAGTGTACATTGGTGGGAATGTTTTGCAGTATAAGAGAGCAGTTTCCTCTTACTGCTTTCTCATGTACTCGGGTAACCCTTCGGCTATGGTAACCTTGTAATGTCACAAAGGAATTAGTGCAATCCAAATCATGAGTTTGACCAAGCTGCATCATTCCACTCTGATGACGCAAAGCTCCTGTGAATGTGTCTTAACAAATCACCTGATACGTGTTTAAATCTGCCTCGTGTAGCCAAAATGAAAGAATTGGAAAATATGATTAAATAAGCAAAATCACTGCAAAGTATAATTGAATTAGGCTTCAAATTATTGCAGTCTGCCATTATATTGGTTTGGAGAAGAGAAGACTACATGAAGACCTCATAGCAATTTTCAATATCTGATGGGCCTACAAGGGAGCTGGAGAGGGACTCTTTGTTTGGAACTGCAGTGAGAGGACTGCAGGGGTAACGGGTTCAAATTGAAGGAGGGGAAGTTTAGGTTAGAAATTGGAAAAAAAGTATTTTACTATGAGGGGGATAAGACACTCGAACAGGTTGCCCAGGGAGGCAGAAGATGCCCCAACCCTGGCAGTGTTCAAAGCCAGGCTGGATGAGCCTTGAGCCACCTGGTCTGGTGGGAAGTGCCTCTGCTCACGGCAGGGGGGTTGGTACTAGATGATCTGTAAGGTCCATTCTAACCCCTAAAATTCTATCATTCTGTGATTATTTGTGTTATATCATATGATACACTAATTTGGACTTGTCTAGGTAGGCACGTGCTAGTGAGAATCATTCATAAATTATTCTTGTTACCTGAGTATCTTGTTTATTTTCATCCTTGTTGAGCCCTTTACTAACTATGGACACTAAGGATAAAATATACAGGTGTGCTGAAATTCCTAAGGATACCCCTGTGCACCTAATGAAGCCCAGGGTCTAACTGCATGCATTGAAGTCCTCAGCTCTTTGGCACACATACACCAGGTGCTTTCAAACATCCCTGCACCTGAATTCCTACGGGCATAGGTCTCTCGCTATTTTTAGATGCAAAAACTTCAGCAGTTTGGCCAAGGGAATGATTGGTTCTTTAGATTTATTTTCTTTAGTATCTCAGGTAATATCTGTTGTTTTGAAAATTGATGGCCAGTGAACTTCTTTATTGACCACTGTTACCTGTTCAGCCTAAACTTCTGTAACACACACTGGCCCCATTTGTGACTGATTTGAGCCACATCTTGCATTCAACTTCTGTTTCACCTCTTTAAACCTGTCTTTGTGAATTATATTCCTATAAGCAAAGTCTCATTGTAACATGAGAATCTCATGCATAATTATTCCAGCTTTAAAAAATTTTATTAATAGAAGCACTTCTTTGGAAAAAGAAGTGAAAAAAGAAACAGCCTGAAGTTTTTGGTTGGTTTATTTGCAGTTTTAGTGAAAGAAATAATCACAATGCACTGTTGTATTTTCAAAGCTGAATCATGGAAAAAAAGAATTAGAGCAGATACACTGTGGATCTTTTACATTATTTGTAGGATTAGTGAACCTTTCAGGTGCAGATTTGAAGCATCAGTGAACAACCCAACTTTACAGCATCATATGCCACGTGCCTCCATAAGCCATAGAATTTGTTTGTGGGCTCTTAGTTCTCTTTGGCTGAAGCACTGAGAAGATTAGTCAGGCATTATTTGCTCCAATATATTGTCATTAAACTAGCACCTAAGGGGCAAGAAATATCAGCAGTTGAGTAGACAACTGTGAAATAAACAGTCAATACTCAGTGTTAGCTATTTGTTTACAATGGTACCTTGTGAAAATGGCATCTTTAGGGTGCACGGTAACAGAGTTATACACATCAACCCTTGTTTCTCAGCTCCATGAACAGCTGCAGTATTTTAATTTCTTGTGCACTTTGCAGGTTATAGTCAGCCTCCAATGTAAACCATGCATGTATATATTTGAATATATATTCAAAGTGAATCCAATGCAAAATAAGTGTTCTTAGCAGCTGTTCAGCGATAGCAATGCTTGGCACTTAATCAGCTCTCATTGACTGGCATATTTAAAATGTCAGCTTGCTTAAACAATTTTCATTAACTAGCTGCATGAGCAACTAGACTTCTAAAAGTTAAAAATACTTCAGTAATATATCATAGAAGCATAGAACTTAGGGGTTGGAATGGACCTTACAGATCATCTAGTCCCAACCCCCTGCCCTGGGCAGGGATATCTCCTCACTAGGTCAGGTTGCTCAAGGCTTCATCCAACCTGGAATGAAACACTGCCAGGGTTGGGGCAGCCACAGCCTCCCTGGGCAACCTGTGCCAGTGTCTCACCACCCTTAGAGTAAAAAACTTCTTTCTCACATCCAACCTAGACTTTCCCTCCTTCAGTCTGAACCCATAACCCATTGTCCTATCATTGCAGTTCCTAACAAATATGTAGGGTACTGAAAAAAATAGCTTGTATTCTCAGACAACTCTGCTTAGACATGTTTTGAATGTGATAGACCAAATCTTTCCATCATTCCTCTGTTTCAATTTCAGCTTGTATCTATTAATGGCAGTGCAGACTGAGACATTTTGCTTGTACTGTATATTGTCCTTTACAACAATACAATGTTTTGTTAAAATCTTACTAATATTAGTGTTTGGTTACAGGCAGCTTGCACCGTGCATCCAGTGTACCAGAGCATGTTTATAACATGGGGATTACTGAAAATTATTTTGCACCAAGAAGTCCATATAGTTTCTCATCTTACCAGTCAAACCAGGTGAGGAAAAAAGGACCATGAAGCAAAAATAAAATATCACATGCATAGTTTATTAACTTTGTTACTAGAAATAATAGCATTTAGATGATGTTTCAAGGTTTGTATGATTACTTGTTTGCTTTTTAAGTCAGATTTCTAGAAAATGAGGTGTTTATAACTAAAATCTCTGAAAGTTTTCCCCTGCTTCCAGTGACTTCAGAGCCGAGTGCCCAAATTCAACTGTACTGAGAGGTTGTTTGCAGTCCTGTTGGATTTGTGAGAATTGGCATCAGGGTAGAAAATGAAAAATCATATTAACACTCCACTAAGGCAAAGGCTGTGACAAGTCAGGCCCTCATCCATCCCACCAGGCAGCAGGTCAATCAGCACATCAGGAACTCAAAGAAGCCAGAGGACGTGCTGCCCAGCCAAACAGAATTAAGCATCCAGAACCACAGGAAAGCAGGTTGCTTTAGTTTCACAAAGACAGGCAGTGTTCCTTTTGATCCAAAAATACTCCTGTTGTAACCTGTTTAGCATTACAGGAATTTCAGCAATACAGTCTTTGAAATACAATGGTGTTTCTAAACCAACTAATCAGAAGTTGTTTTGACCAGTTATTTTGACCAGTTTTCCTTGGGTTCATGGCCTGTATGCTGAGATAAATAATTGGTTTTCTGCAGGGTTTGTGACACAGCTCATAACTGGTATGAACCTATTTGAGGGAGCAAGCATGTCACTGAGGAATCAACACAGCTCAATAGCAAAGCTACTGCATGAGCATTACTAAACTGAAAGCAATTCAGCTTGAGAACAGAAATATTTATTTAATAAATAACTGCATATGTAGGGGCAGTTCTACCTTAATTTTAGATTAAACAAGAATGGATTATTGTCATTAAAGGAAATAGCCCAGATTCTGGACAGTTAATGAAGCAGCTCTGGTTCTGTATGGAGAAAGTTAGAACCATTTATTTAAACATATTTCCTTCTCTGTCCTCCTATCCTCTGTTCTCACCTGTGCTCCAGTCCATAATATTTGATGTGAATCAGTTCCTTCTAGAAGAGTACAACAAGAGGAAAACTGGAGGAGACATAGGAATCACAAGAAAATAATACAATTTTCAGGTGGAGGATGGGGAGGAAGGGAGACTACTTGTCCTGTGTGAAGGCTGGAAAAAGCCACAAGGTCTAGTATTTCAGAAAAGCATTAATTTCCTTTTCCCCAAACACAAGATAAAGATATCCTTATAATGTCTGTAGAATAAACAGATATATCCAATGATCCTTGCCTAAGCCTACTAGTTTCTGTAACCTTTGCTCCTTTTGTGAGTCAATTGTCACCCTCAGGATCTCCTCAGCAGTGAAATTAAGAGATTTCAGCCTGGCAACTATCTGCTAAGTACTGTTCCTTCAATTAATAGCTCATGTAAACTTCTCAGCTTACCTTAAAAAATGCCTTTAATACTGCAAAACTTTAACACAACATGGAAATGGAATATATGGGACTTTGATATATGGCTGTATGCCCCTGTGCTTACTGATTTTTTAAAAAATTAGTCCATGACTCCTCTATTTCAAGACCAGATAGTGTCCCAAGTTTGTTTATTTCTGGAAGGTTTTGAATAGAGTATGGTGTCCAATACAGAGCACAAGAAAAAGGTAGAAAAATTGGAGTGGCCTCAAATGCCACCTAAACAGTAAGAATCTTGAAGATACATCCTACAAAGAAAGGTTGAAGGCAGTGGATTTGTCAAGTTTAGAAAAGCAGCAATTATAAACTAAGATGATGATCCATTACAGTCTACACCCACTAGGGACAGAAAAAAAATCTAAAATTGCAACTGTAATATTAGGGAAGTCATTGAGATGGTGAAACGGTCATTTTGGTTATCTTGGAATGTTATACAATATCCTTCATTTTTAAGAGGTTAGGCAAACAGGGAAGGGACTATTTCTTTCTACTAGATCTTACTACAGAGTGAACAGGAGGACAAATAACCTTATATTAATAAGGTGAATAGCAACATGCAGGCACTTTAGTATAATATTTTCATGTCTGAGCAATTAATTGTCTTCCATCTGTTGAACAGCCTTGAATTTAATTTTACTAGCAGATGTTGGTGTTAATCCCCAAGGAGTTTCAAACTGAAAAGATCTTCATTAATAATCAAACTGTTCACTACCAGGCATAACTGACTTAAGCAACTATTTTGAGTTCATGATAGAAGACTAGATGCTTAGTCTTTGCATCCTAATGTGTAGACTGTACTTTGTCCTGCCTTCATGAGGCAGGTACAAAGAAGTGTTGCAGAATCCTATTTAATATACTTGGTGATGTTCACATTTTTCTGATTCTCAGAGCAGACACTAGAATTTTTGTCTTTACTGTTTTAGTATGGTTTCTTTGTTATTTATCCTAAGTGCTGTGATCTTACTGTGGTTCATGTTCTTTTATGCACCCTGGAGCAGGTTGCCTCACCATCCTCCTATACAAATGGCTGGGGGACAAGGATTGCTTACAGGACAATGGAAGAGAGAGCTCAAAGGCAGCCCCTGAAGAGACTAGAGGTTTCACCCCAACGAAGTCCAGAAAGATTGGCATATGTGTCCAATGATTTTCACTATGATGGAGGGATTTCAACTGGGTTCTCCATGAGGCATGGTGATAGCAGGAGATCAAACGGGACTGTCCCACCAAGATACGCTCGGTCTGAGATTGTTGGTTACACCCTCCATGATTCAGTGAACAGGGGACGCTCTTTCAAGAGACACTCCCGCATGGGAGCTGTTAATGATGCTGTCCTTGACGGGGTCTACCCCAGCCCCACTGCACCTCTGTACAATCAAGCAGGCAACAGTCGCAGTATGACCAACCTTCTGGAGAAGGAAAACTACCTGACCTCGGGCAATGCGATGGGACAAGTGAGATCACCAACGGCTTCCTACGTGGGGTCTCAGAACAGGCAATCTGTAAGGTCCAGTTTCTACCAAACTACTTTCAGAAACACACAGAGCAGGAGGGAAGTTTCCCAGCCAGCTTCAGTAACCAGTGTCACTGCAGAAACAGATGGGAAGAGGATACCATTGACAGCTGCTGTGGCTGCAGCAGGGAGAAATGTCTTCCTGCAGAGTGAGCAAGTCCCCATCAACGGATCTCAGCTAGGGTAAGTGCTGGTCCTGCTTTGGTTCTGAGGTGTCGCAGTTGAAAGGAACATGTTTGTTTAGAAAGAGAAGGTAAACTGACAGCTTGTGGTTCAGCAACCAGCACAGTGTATGAAATACCAATGCAGAAGATGCAGAAAGTAGATTTGCTTTTAAAAGTCCACTTCCAGTGCAACAGAGGAAAAGGAGAAAAAAATGTCTGTGTATGTGCATACTGCAGGGCCCATGCCTCCTGCTCAGTTTCAGGACCCCCTTTTGTCAAGAATGAATCAATTTTATAAGGAGACACAAAGTAGTCACTGAGTAATTTGCAACCTAAGTCACAATACACAAAATTGTATTGGCGAATTTTGTGCTCCCAAGAGACTGGATGGTATCAGCACTGGTTCCCATGAGAGTAAGTCAGAAATCTACCAGTGAAGTAGCTTTTGGCATATTGACAATTTCCAGTTAAAAGTCCTTCATGGTTTCAAGGACACATTTTAAATTTTGCAAACTTCAGTTAAAACACAGGCAGAAATTTCACTTACCTCTGTACCACCATCCATTCCTAGAACAAATATGAACTGCTCTGAATCTTGAGACCCCAGACATTCTCACTACCACGAGATCCTACGTGCTCTGAGGGCACTATTTTAATTTGAAATGCTCTTAGCTCCATGTCAGAAAGTCCTAGACTTCAGGAAAATGGTTTAAAATATTAATTCCCTTCCAGAGAGGATTTCAGAATGTCTAAAATCAGTTCCATTTTCAAAAGGGAAATTTTTTTTTTTCTTTTTTTCATTTTAGAATAATTCTGAATGTTTCCAAATCCATTAAGGTTCAATGGGCAGAACAAACCACTTGGTATACAGGAGATGGTTGCTTGCACTGTTTTCTGTGGTTTCTGTTGTTTCACAATCCAAGTATGATCCCTGAATTTCTTATTAAAGTTAATCATAGTGTAATTTACAAGAGTGTTACTAAGAAATGGCTCTTTTTCCCATGACTCTAGCTCTTAAGTTTATTTTTCTGAAGTCCAGCTTTCTTCTTTTTCTAAATGTGTTACTGAGTGAGATGAGGCATCACCTGATATTGCGGCTGTGTACAGATCAAGTATTTTCTGTTGTCACCTGCATGTTGTGTGTTATGATTAGATTTACAAGCAAATATGGTATTGTGTACACTTTCAGTCTGGATCAAAATTTTTACCTCTGGGTGATGCAGGAATTAACAGATCTTGTATTAATGATATGACTCTCAAGTATTTAGTCTTTATGGCAAGTAAGGCCAGAAAAACAGCTGAGAGCTCACAACAGCTAAAGATTTGGGAGTAGCAATGTTGAAAATAGGTACCCAGGAGGACTTTGTTTCTCAGTAAGACAATTTACAAACAGCATGTATCCTACTGACTTAATAATTTACTTTATTTTTGGCACATTCTTGAATGCATTTCTGAGACATGACCAGCAATTTCTATCTTTAATTTCATGTAAGAGCAATTTAGGGTTTTCTTTTGCAGGTGCAGACACTAGAGTCTGTCTGTCTGCCTGCCTGTACAGACATCAACCAAAGTATTTTTCACACCTGCAGATGTAAAAATCTGTCTTCATTCATTGTGCCAGTGGCTTGATCGAGACCATGCTGAACTCAGATGGAAGATTTGTGACCTGCTGGAAATCTTTTTGACAGCATAATTCCTTAAGTACCAGTTCTTAGGTTCAGCTTTTGCTGGAAATTATGGAGCAAAGCAATTAGAAGTGCTGTGAAAGCTTCTAAAGTTTTCTTTGCAGATATTTGCAGATTTTGTTTATCTTAGTATTTCTGTTTAATTTACTTCTACATATCTTACTTAGATTTCAAATATCCTAAATTCTACTTCAGTTTCATAGCTAGTTTTTCAGGCTAGTGAGGGGCTCTTTACCCAAAGTTTAAAAAAGTCTCTGTAAAATATAATAGCTTATATTAGTAAAGAGGCTGGTGGAAAGCAGCATATAACAAAATTCTGGAAGAGATTTGCAGCACTTCCACCATTTTTGCACCATTTTTAAATAATAAGGAAGAAACTGTAGCCATTTTCACTGACCGACATCAGTATTAGTTACACATACTTATGTAATGACATGTTTGATAACCACATACATTGTTACTTTTTTTGCTACCTGAATTGCACATTTAATAAGTCCTCGTGTGAGTCTCACCACTGGATGGAAGGACAAGTCCTATTTTGTTTGTAGGACATTCTGGTTCATCTGCATCTAGCTACTGCTCAGTTTAGTGTAAAATTAAATATTAAAACACACTAGGCAACATTTTGCTTTGCAATATACACTACTGGCAAGTCATTCAACTTTGTTATTCCACCAGTAGTACAATAGTTTCTTCTTAAGCTCTACAGAGAGACTTGGACTGAATTGATCACATGAACTCATGTGAAGAAAGCAAAGTAGAAAAATCAGCGTATAGGGATGTTATCTCTATCTTCTGCTGTGAAGAAAGCAAAGTAGAAAAATCAGTGTGTAGGGATGTTATCTCTATCTTCTGGTAAAGTGAATCCATTAAAAGCATCCTCATGATGAAGTGCAAAGGAAGGATAGATTCAACCTGAAGCTGTCTGAGAAAGAGCTGCTTAACAAATCTGACCTCTAAATGTGCTGAGAGCTGTCACAAAATGATTATGTATATATATATATCTCAATCAAAAATGTTATATTCTGGCAATTAAGGTGCAGTCAGAATTATTCAAACCATTGTTCTGTTTAACAACCATTGCTTGACTGACCGTTTGTTTGGTGTCATTACACGTGTTCATCTCAGCCTGGCAGTGACTGCTGATGGACCTTTACCACTTGGGACACCCTCCTGAGGTTGAATTCTCAAGTAGATTCCCTGGTGTCCCATGGGGGATCAGTTTATGCAGCAATCTTCACCTTGGAGAGCACATGGTTATAGTCCTCAGCTGTTGGTTGGCGAAATGACTCACAATTTAAGACATGTCTGCTGCTTACAGAAGGTGACTGAATTTGGTCAAAGGACTCCAAAATTATTGCAGTGACTAACTGTCAGGTAGACGTGCACATGTATAACATGGTCAGAACACTTCTGTTGATTTAAGAAACATGGCTAAAACCCAAGGGTGAAAAACCTGTTTTTCTGTTTCACTACGGAGAGTACGAAGAAGAAATATGACCTGGCTTTTTTCATCATTCATTATTTGAGATCTTTAAGTTTCTGATCTCTACATCTGACTTGTAACTTTGAGTAACTTCATAGCTACTTTGATTTAAATCTGGCCTGAAGTAAACTCTGAAAATCTGAAAGCTCTAAGCATTGCTAGACCAGAGCACAGGATGCTAGAGTTACTAACCAAAGTTCTGTCTAATTTCTAAGTTGATTTAACTTCTCCATTGACATCCTGATCACACTGTCCCCTTTATTTCATCTTTCTCTTGCACAAGCATCCTCAGCACCTGTTGGCATATATGCTCAAAACACTAACTCAGAGGAGAGGACAAGACAAGAAACAACATGATTTATACCAAAGGGAAATATAAAGGCAGGTGGAAACCTCAGGGTGTTGGAGTATAATTGCATTTGCAACAGGTGCATCAAAATTCTGCATTTCTTTGCTGTCCTTCCAGCCATACTAATTGTCTTTTGCCTTGGCAAAACCAAGCAGCAGATGTTGATCTACAGTGTGGTTGACATGAAAAAATTCTAACAAAATCTGATTTTTGTCTTGGAGCTCAT